GGCCCAGGTGGTCCAGGTGGTCCGGGCTTTCCATGACCTTTGATGCCCTCCTTTCCAGGGGGACCAGGCATCCCAGCTGGTCCTGGCATGCCAGGTGGTCCAGCGTCTCCTGGTAGACCGGCTGAACCGCACCCCCCATCATTACCTTTTGGTCCAGGACGTCCTGAGAGACTTGCGTTCCGGCATTCATGGTGGTCCAGCCATCCCAGGAGGTCCAGGCGGTCCGGGTGGGCACTTGATGCACGCTGTGTCAATAGGTGGGCATGTGATCGGTGCGTAAGTAACTCTGTTGTCCTCACCAGGTGGGCCTGGAAGTCCAGGATTTCCTGAAAATAAGCATCGTGAGACGCGAAAATTGGGTACAAAGAAAATACACGCCATAAGAAATTTAAAAGCATAACAAAAATATGAAGAACACATACCGGGCTGTCCAGGAGGTCCGGGAGGTCCTGGAGGTCCAGGTGCACAAGTTACTTTGAGGGGTTCGCAATGACACCAAGCAGGCAGGCCATATTGCCTCTTCCGGCGGAAAATCGAGTTAAAAGGATTCTCACGGGGTTTTGATACGGGACGAAGGGCTGTCTGGGCGTCCATAATTTCGGACCAGACGATGTCGGTCTCGGCGCGAAACACAGAAACGCCGTCGAGCACTTGTTGATGAATCTCGTTCATGGTGTTGAGAAACGATGGCACGACAACTGAGAAGATAACCAAAGCCAGAGTGGAGCAGGCTCCTGCCACAGTAAGTATGAGCTTTTCCTCAAACATGTCGGCACACCAGCTATGCAGCAGTACCGCTCTCTTTTATAGTACTGACTGGACCATGTGAAGCCACGCCTAGTCTTCACTTGGCAGGTTTAGGAAGTGGAGACGAACAATGGGAATCCATCATTTGTGTGGTATGTTATATGACATATTATATTACACCTAGTTTCATTATGTCAAAGTCATGGTCTTGTGAAGAGTTTCATTATGTCAAAGTCCTGGTCTTTCCATGCGAGGAATCAATCGACTACTGAAGATGAAAATAATCGCTTCTTTCGCTTCAGGAAAGTGGAAAAAAGATATTGATCCGCTCCCAATTCAGGCAACCATTGTGATGTAATGTTGGACTTAAAGACACATTTCGCGATACGTGTAATGACCAGAGCCCTGTGTGGATAAGGTAGTGATGAGCCACAATGCACAAGCTTGCACCAATTTTGAGTCAAAAAATTCTATGGTAGAGTATTAGAGAGCAAGGTTGCTCAAATGGCTTTTCCCGAACGGAAGTGACTCCTGTCCGTGTTGTGGTGTCTGTCGTTTCTCTGGTTTGTATGCTGTCTCGCTCCTGTTCTCTAGTCTCTCACTGAAATCTCCGCTATTCTTCGCCTCTGTTTTGGAATGATGAAGGCCCTATTCAGGGCATCACGGCCGTTCCCCACGCATTTCTCTTCACCGGTGCAGAGATCAACTGGTTTTTTTTGCAAGTAACTCATTTATCACGCACTCCTGTTTCACAACTCTGCTACCTAGGATCATTTCGAATTATGATAGCTAAATCTGTCTTCAAAACCGCAGCCATCTTTGCCCAGTGGTCCAGTATGTCCTCACCGTCGTTCTCGGACATTCCTGCTGTGCCAGCGTTCCCACGAGGTCCATCTAGGTTGAGTTCATCTCTCAGGATTACATGTGCTACAAGCAGATATGTATGAGTATCAAT